TGTTTGTTTCCAAATTTCAGTTGGATTGTGAAAATAACGTTTTTGTATGTAGATCTACAAAGATTGCTTTCATTTGTTGATTACTGCCGTTGACGGAGAACGTAACAAAATTATCACATTTTCAACTCTCCAAATAGTTGGTTATTTTGTGGTTGTAATAAATAGTTTTTTCTCCATTTCATGATTAAATACAATACATGTGTTCTATGTGATTATTTTATTTTAATCCGTCATCAATTAAGAAGCTCATTACTCATTTTGGTAACTTTTGAAAACCGCCCATACAATTATCTTATTTGGTCATTTGGAAAATCGCTCAGACAGTTATTATTATTTTGTATAACATTTTTGGGTCAAATTACTAGACTTTATTTTAATGTCAGGAAATGGCCTTTTTAAGTAATGCCATAAGTCTTGTATAAAAGAAATTGTAACATGTTATGTTTAATGGGCGTCCCAAGAGAGAAGAATGACAAAAACCATCGGTTAATTTCAAAATTTAATCTTTCGAACGACATTTTGATTGTTATATCATCTGTATTATTAATGCCTGAAAATAACAAGTGTAGTTATGCTTAGCTTTCTTGATTTCAATGAAATGTTGCTGTGTAAGCAAATTTCTGGAAAAATGATAACTAACAGTCATAATTTATAACAATAAAAATGTCGTTCGAAAGATTGGATTTTGGAATTAACCGATTGTTTTTGTCATTCTTCTCTGTAGGGGAGGCCCATTAAAACATAACAATTTACAATTTCTTTTATTATTTTCGACTTGTGAGTTTGAATGTCCCTTTGGTATCCTTCGCCTCTCTTTTTGCAAATTACTGTTATAAATCTAGTTTCATCTTATAATCAAGGAAATAGTTTGTGCTGATATCAATTATAAATGATACAAGCCATTACGTTCGAGATAACATCCAGCATGCCATCAATGTAGCGTCCGTATTAATGTTCTGATATATTCTTATTTGGTAAAAAAAAGAAGTAAAGAGAGGAATTATATTACCTTCGTATTTGCGTATGGTTTAAAATAACACGACCAAAACGTGTAGAACATGTGTAGAAATGTAGAAATGATAACAAATAATTCTGTCGAATTGTGTGATGAATTCCTTTTTAGTTTGCAAGAAAAACGATTAATACGATATATATGAAAATGTCTTTCCAGTGACTTTACAAAAGTACACAGAGTATTCTTTTTGCCAAGAATTCCATTCACAATGCACAATTGCTAGTTTATGCAATTCTTTTAGTTTCCAAACGTCACTTAGTTTGTCAAACTAGTGTTAAGTATGAAGCTCAAATGATTTTGCTTTAATCTGTTGGTTAATGTCGTGCAGGGAAATGCTAATATAGTGTTCTCCAGATTTTCAATGCAGAAGGATGTAAATAAGCTTGGAGTTATATCTAATTGTTCTTATCTAAGTTCTGATTATATACTCATCATAGATACCTGGCTTTATGTTTTGTACTCCTAACGAGTGTTTCGTCTACAAAAGACTTACCAGTGACTGATGCTCGAATAAAAATAAATTGAAAAGGGTCAAATAAAGAACGAAGTTGAAGAACACTGAGGACAAAACAAAATCTGAAAAGTGTTGCCAAATACATAAATCATGCAAATGCATGACTAAAATTAAAAAATGGTTGAAAAAATCATCACATACGTTCACCGTTTATCATTTTCTTTGAGGTGTGTTATTACTCAAAGAGTAGGATTGGACTCTTGATATCCCTTTGGTATCTCCCTCATCTCTTTTAGATGATTCAAATTAACTGATTTATATCTCTCCTTCGATTAGGAGAAATCATAATTTTGAGTTTGACTATCATTTGTTGAAGCAAGACCGAGTAGTGATCATCGCTTAAAAATTCCCGAAATCTCTAGATCTCCCAATATCGGTTAAAATTAATGATTGTTACAGTAGAACATATTTTAAACGATTTGTTCCTTGACAGAACTGTTATATAAATATTGAAGGTATACGACTGTGACAGATTAAACAATTCTTATATATTCTTCGATTTTTAGTCAGATTTATATATGATAGGAAATCATCGTCAATCTTGAAAAACGCAAAACAATACAAGATTTCTGAATTCATATCAAATGACGCAAATGTATTATTCGAGTGTCTTTTGTAGACAAAACGCGCGTTTGGCGTATACAATTATAAACCTGGTATCTTTGATGAACGAAACTATCATACTCCAGTGTCTAGAACATGAAAATGACGTGATCAAAATATTTAGAACAAACCTGAAGTAGCAATGGTCACACAAAAGATACTTAATTATCCTGTATAATTAAATTTGATCGATGAATTCCTTTTAAATTTGCAAGAAAGCGAGTAATATGGTGAACCAAATGTAATAACAGTTTTCTTTGGTTTTCAAATTTGCTTTTATCTGTTGATATCTGTCGTTGACGGAAGAATTGAAATATCTCTAACATTTTGAAAGGTGAAATGAGTTCACTTTTTTTGGACTGTAATCAATTTGTCTCTCGATCCTAAGGTTCACTTATGCAAATATTTGACAAAACTCTTTACAGTTATTCAATGAGAAATCTTAAATATCTTCATCGATTAAAAAGCTATCTGCAATAATCCGTTTTCCAATTTGGGAAATTTTACATAAAGTAATTATTTGTTCGTAGTTAGAAATTTTCTGCTTTTTAGATTTTATTTTACTGCTGGGAAATATCCTTTCAAAGTAATGATAAGTTGTAAAATGATATGTTTTATTTGGCGACTCAAGAGAAATGAATGACAAATTTAATCGTTTCACTATAAATTTAAGCTCCCATAATGGTATAAAATCTATTAAATAAGTTGAGATTTAAAAACAGCCACTTATGCTAGAAATGGCAGTTATTAAATAAATAATTCATCCAGCTTGCCATCAAATCTAGAGTCTGTATATAGATTCCTATATTTTCCGTCCTTAGTATTTGGTAAATAATCAAACGAAGTGCGCAATTACATGTAATGGAACCGCAGTGTTTAAAATATATAAATGTCGTAACCAAAACTTATATTACAGACGGATGTAGTAATGGTAACAAAAATTATACTTAATAATCCAGTCGAATTGATGTGATGAATTTCTTTTTAATTTGCAAGAAAGACGAATATTAATCTTTCTCAAAATGTCTTTTTATTTAGAACACAAAGTTAGAGAGAGCATTTTTCAGTGCAGATATTTCTTTTTCACGGCACTATTTTCTACAAATTAGCGTTTAATTACTAAGCTCAGATAAATTTGCTTTAATCTGTTGATTCTTGTCGTTCATGTAATTATTAATATAATGTCTATGAGATCTTCAATGCTGCAAGAAGTGGCATGTCTTGTATTTTGTAGGCCTGAGTTGTTTCAATTATACAAATACATAACAATTCAAAATATGGTTGGAAAATTCCATACAAATGTCTAGTTTGAATTTTTGAAATATATAAAAAGTATTAGCAATTATCTGTTTTCTCATTTGGAACATTCAAAATACAGATAATTCATTATTTTTTATTTTAGATTTTTTCTAGACTTTCAAAAATAAGCAATGTTTTCAGTCTTGATTTCAAAGAAATTGAAATGTCTGAGCGGTAAACTAAGGCTTAAAAAAGATTAATGACAAAGTTGGTCCCTTCAGCCAAATAATGTAAAAAGAGACAGAGAAACTATTTTTCGTTCGATAATTCAGTCTTAATTTCAGATCTGTATGTAGAAATAGTTTCCCGATAAAAAGTTTTGATATACCAAAGTATAATTAAAAAACCGAACTCTAAACAACCCTGTTAACACTAATTTGATATTCGACAACTTCCAGTAAGTGCACATGGTGATGATGGCACTTGTACCGAAGAAATGTTCTATTATTAACTAATAATCAATTGTAATCGCTGTAAGAAACAATTCTTATTACTGTGCAAGTACTTTATTTCTGAATTCTAATTATGTGAGTTTCAAAAACAATGAAAATTTAAATGAATGTGGATAGTTATCTATTTTACTATAAATTGTTGCTATCATCACGAAATGCAAATCCAGTTATCAGTAGTTATAAGATCTCTTTTTTATACCATTACATATCTTCAAAAATGCCTGTACCAAGTCAGGAATATGACAGTTGTTTTGCCTTCGTTCCATTGGTTGACAATGTTTAACGTTTGATTTTATCAGTTTTTATGGACTTTCCCTTTTTGAATTTATCTTGGAGTACGGCATTTTTGTTAATAGTATTATACAAGTTCAAGAACAAAAATACTTTTTATAAATAATTACAAATCTTTAAATTTCATGAAAGAATTATTATAATAATTCCCTATATATATAGACTCGGAACAATTCAGATATCAATGTAGTAAAAACTTTTATCAATATCACATAAGTCCGGTATAACATAAAAAATGTTAGGATAAAAAATGAATTATCGTTAGGATAAAAAATGAATTATCATGAACTTTGAAAAGAGTGAGACAAGGTGCGACAACAGGATTAAAAAAAAGAAGATTGTTATAATATCTATACTCTATAGGTGCCTTTTGTCTATATAAGACCAATCAGAGGTGCTCCAATAAAACACTGCTGAAAGTCAATTACGCAGTTGCATCAGCCTAAAATTTTACTTTCAATATAAGTCATTTGATATTAGTTGAAATAAAAATAGATGAAATATTATGTAATAATTGTTCAACTATTGTCCTCGTTAACTTCCTAAATATGTAATTACAAGAAGTATACATTTGTTTTCCTTACAATACAAATATAATAAATGGTCTTGGTTTTATCTTATGTCGATGCAGACGAAAAACATTATATTACACAAATATTCACAGCATGTTAAAACGTCTCATAGCAGTTTGTGTCAAGTATAGAAAATACGTTATGTAATCTTATATCAAATGATTGATATATGCATTTGTCTTCATGTTATGAACATTTAAAGATTTGACAAACATTGCAATACTGCAAACATAATCTGTGTATGTACGACTTACCTCGTTTGATGAAAATGTCTTCTGTGATTTAGTTAACAAAGTTCACTTTACTTATAACTAATTTTCATCAAGGCTGAATCACGATGATCGATATACCATAAAGCATCCTCTCTATCATTCGGCTGTACACTGATTGTATGTAGTCAAGAATTCCAATAATTTACTTAATGTTACCCGTGACTGTGTTACAAATATACCTCAACTAATGATTGGTCCTTAAAATCTAATGTTACCCGTGACTGTGTTACAAATATACCTCAACTGATGATTGGTCCTTAAAATCTAATGTTACCCGTGACTGTGTTACAAATATACCTCAACTGATGATTGGTCCTTAAAATCTAATGTTACCCGTGACTGTGTTACAAATATACCTCAACTGATGATTGGTCCTTACATTTTTTTTATTTTTACTCTTCTCGAGGACCAGAATTCATTTCTAATGGGACTAGTTTTACATTTGAAACAACACCTTTTGGATGATCCTATCCTATATTTGTTTAAATCAGTTCGGTACTAGTCATCAAATTACAGCTTAGGTAGACTAACAGACACCCTTAAAATAATAATTATGAATGAGTTTATATTAAACTGTAAAAGTAGATGAAGAAAAGAAATACATTAAAGATTTCGTGCGTGCGAATCGCCTCTCTAAATTGACTTTCATTGGGAAAGTTCAGACCTTAACACAGCCATGAAACTAATTTCTGCAATAGTTTAGAATGATTATTTTCAATGATAAGAATATTACATGCCTTTAAACTTTTGAATTTTCAAGTTGTAATTTCGATGCTTTATGATAATCTATAAATAAAAAAAAAATCTATAAAATAATTACTTCTCTATCCCTGGATATGTGAACACATAAGTTCTTATGTTGTACTGTTACACCATTGTCCAAGGTTAGGCGAGGGTTGGCGCCTTCAAACTAGCTTAACCCCGCCACATTTTATATGTGCCTGTCCCAAGTCAGGAGCCTGTAATTGAGTGGTTGTCACTTTTAGCTGATTCTCATATTTGTTTTTCATTTATTGTTTTGCATAGTTTCTTCTTATGTTTTGTCTTTACACCACTGTCCCAGGTTAGAGAGCGGGTTTGGCGCCAACAAACTAGTTTAACCCCGCCACTTTCTATATGTGCCTGTCCCAAGTCAGAAGCCTGTAATTCAGTAGTTGTCGTTTGTTGCTGTATATCATATTTTTTTCCGTTCATTATTTTGTACATAAATTAGGCCGTTAGTTTTCTCGTTTGAATTGTTTTACATTTGTCATTTCGGGGCCTTTTATAGCTGTCTATGAGTTATGGGTTTTACTCATTGTTAAAGGCCGTACGGTGACCTTTAGTTGTTAATTTCTGTGTTATTTGTTTCTTGTGGAGAGTTGGCTCATTGGCAATCTTACCACATCTTCTTATTTCTTTTTATACATAAGTGAATATCATATTTGAAAGGCATGTATCGAAAACATAAACCGGTCTGACTGTATAGTAAATAATATTGTCATCATACAAGATGCATTCAAATAAAGATGCATTGCACAGATTTGTCCTCTCCAACAAACTTGTATTATGTTACAACCTTAGATTAACCAACATTGGAAAGGCACCACGAAACGAATGGAAGCTGGCGAATCAGTGAAGGCGATAATGTCAAAATATCCTGAGTTGGAAACCATTTTAGGAAACGATCTAGACCTGCATTAAAATTTTCAATATAAAAGTAAGGAGATGTAGTATGATTGCCAATGAGACAATTATTTACCAGAGTTCAAATAAGCAAAACAATTTATGAAATACAAATTTATATATTTTAAAAAATGTTAGTTTTTCTTGTGCTTTGTACCGATATTTTGAGTTAAGCTAATTGCAACTGATTTTTAAAGTTATTTTCTTTGCTGTGCTGTTATGCCACTGTCCCAGGTTAAGGGGAGATTCGAGCGCTCACAAACACGTTAAACCCTATAACATTCTTTATGTGCCTTTCCAAAGTCAGGAGCTGTAGTTCAGTGTTTGTCGTTGGTTCATGTCTGTCTTATTTTTTCGTAAATTGTTTTATTATAAATACGTAAGTTTTCTCGTTTGAATTTTTTCATGTTTTTATATCAGGGCCTTTTTATGCCGACTATACGGTATGGGTTTTGCTCATTATTGAAGGCTGTACGGTAGCCTTTGATTGCTTATATCCGCTTTATTTAAACTCTGATGGATAGTTGTCTCATTGGCCATCGTGCCACATCACTTTGGGTTTATAACATAAAAACAATCGACACAAAGCACCGATATAAGAGTACTCGCAGTAGCTGAAAACTAGTTTAAATCTAATTGCAACTAATAGATAAATCTTGTTCTCCCAGACTAAGGTATCAATCAGTACACATCCAACGGATTTAGTGTAAAACGTCATAAACAGTCTGAGAAACGCATGACATAGTGCAATGCCAAAATATAAGTAAACAGTATCGACAGAATGTAGGTAGAATCATGAGTTCTCAAAAATGTATATGTATAGCATTTATATTTGGTTATGTTTTATTGTTTTCAAAACAAAATCAATTTTAGTATCAATAAAAACAATATTTAAAGATGTTACTACTGTATTAAATTGATAACCTTTAAGAATATGTTTATTCAAGGGATAAATGCGTTTACATGGATCGTATCAAAATTTACAGGCTCTATAAACAATATTTTCTTAAAAATTAGGATGTGATATCCCGTTTTTAATAAGAATTCTACAGATACTGCCAAACTTCCAAACCAAATACTTGTTCTCTGTGAAAGAATTTGGTAAAGGTTGTAATTAATTTGTGGTAACGAAAACCCTGACTTAATAAGTTACAAGATATACATTAATAACATTCAATGAAATCTAAAGTCTTGCATTGATTTCCTGATTTAAGACTTTGGTTGGCCTAAATAATAGAGAACATTAATCGTAGAGTTGTTACAAGTACTGAGGTCAATTCTCCTTATTGAACTCTCATTTACATTAACATTTAATTGGTTTCATCAACTGATACAAAGCGGCCCTGCTCGTAGTTAGCTTTATAACGTGGAGCAGACCAGACCTAAGTTAAAAATAGAAATGTCGATTTTGATCAAAGCAGTTAAGATTAAAGGTACACATATACTTTTATGTTGGACTGGTTTAAAACTTCATCCATCGTTATTTTTAAACAATGTCTTTATCTGAAGTTATAAATTCAATCCCATGACAAATCCGCTATTTGATTAACATGCCTTTGGTTAAGCAGTCAATAAGTCTGACACATTCTAGTTAAATTTGGCAATCAAAATGTGGTGTGAGCAAGTTAACTTGTATATGTTGTGACCACGCTCATCACTGCGTATTAGTTGCAGACAAAATGATTTATTGTTATTTTGGCTTGCGAAGTCTTCGCCCTTTTTTTTAAATTCTTGTTTACATAAAATCTTCAACAATTAAAAGAGGATTGCAAACATAACGAAAGAAAACAACGCGTTTTTCAGTTTTGTGAAATTGGTTTCAACTGGAATCAATCTCCGATAATTCACGGTCACTAAAAATAAGAATTAAACTAAAACAAAACAAACCTGAATACACATTGTCAGATTTTACAATTAACTATTGCAAGCCGTTCTCGTCAAAACTATGTTTAAACCATTTTTCGAAAAATTTACACACTGAGATTTAAAAACCTAAAAACACACACGGAGAATTAAAAATTACACACCGAGATTTCATAAAGACGCAATGAGATTACAACAAAATGAAAAACACACACTGAGAATTGAAAATTACACACTGAGATTTTAAAAAGGCACACTGAGATGAATTAAACTGAAAAACACAAACTGAGAATTGTTAATTACACACTGAGATTTCAAAAATACACACTGAGACTAATATGCACATTACTAATAAATATTCATGAAATGAATAATTCAACAGATTAATATCTTGGTCTGCCGAACTCTCGTCATTATAATGAAATGCGGTTCCTTCAACCAACATTCGTAATAAATTTCAAGGCTTGACAGCGTTTTTTGCTAACTCATATTCATAAGTTTGTTGCCTTACTTGCCTACACACAATCTGAATTTGAAATTACACACTGATATTTGTGCCGTTTTTATGCGCACATATCTAATTAGCATACTTAATCTGAATCTATTACAAGCTTAAAACAACTAGGGGACAGAACTCGTTAGTCCTTCAATTTGGCGCCAATTTTTTTATAAATAATATGACAAATACAACGTATAGTAAAACTACGTTATTAAAGACCAATAGAATAAGAAAAATACCCACTTACTCTCATTACAAAATATAACCAAATGGTGAATAAACTTTTATTAAAAATATAAGAAAACATTGGAACAATTTGCAAAAAGACAAACAATGCAGTGAAATTTTTATAGCATATAAACGTAACCAAAATATAAAAGAATGCATTGCGAAATCAGGGTAACGGTGGAAAGTCTTTTGAAAAGGAACCCTTGCTTAAACAGTGTTAAGCATAAAATCCCGATTCACTGTTAGTAATAGTCTGAATTATAGGCAACAAACTTATGAATATGAGTTAGCAAAAAACGATGTTAAGTCTTGACATTTATTACGATTGCTGGTTGAAGGAACCGCATTTCATTATAATGACGAGAGTTCGGGAGAGCAAGAAATTAATCTGTTGAATTATTCATCTCATGAATATTTATTAGTAATGTGCATTTGTTTGCACCTGTCCTAAGTCATGGTTGTCGTTTGTTGATGTGGTTCATAAGGGTTTCTCGTTTCTCGTTTTTTATATAGATTAGACCGTTGGTTTTCCTGTTAGAATGGTTTTACACTAGTCATTTTTGGGACCCTTTATAGCTTGCTGTTCGGTGTGAGCCAAGGCTCCGTGTTGAAGGCCGTACTTTGCGCTACAATGGTTAACTTTTAGAAATTGTGACTTGGATGGAGATTTGTTTCATTGGCACTCATACCACATCTTCTTATATCTATATATTAATCTCAGTGTGTATTTTTGAAATCTCAGTGTGTAATTAACAATTTTCAGTGTGTGTTTTTCAATTTATTTCATCTCAGTGTGTCTTTTTAAAATCGCAGTGTGTAATTTTATATTCTCAGTGTGTGTTTTTCATTTTTTTAAATCTTAATG